CGGGGGTACTGATCAGATTTTGCTTATTTACCATATAAATGTATTGTAACATCAAATGACATAGCCACACTTTCATCTCTATGGCAACTATCAGTTGGAGCACTATGTGGGGAAAAGGTATAAATATTTTTTTGGAAAATTATCAGCATGATGTATTCCTCGGCCAATCGATATCCTGATTATCTGCTGACCAAGAAGGAAATAAGTTTTTCTGTGGTATATTATTAGAGATGAAAATGTATTATTAATAATATATGAAATCTGAAAATGTGTTTTATTGTGAAAAACATGAGAAACCAGCATTTGTATCTACTGTTTTTGCATATAACTTCTTTTGATTATAGATGTACCTTATGTCATTTACATAAACATGTTGCCATACTAGCAAATATACTAGATTGTTCTGATTAAATCATATAAAGGAATAACTTAAATTGTACCCAATCACAAATTAACTTCTTGACTAACACATAATATGATGATATTTTCAAAATACCAGAATTTACTTCAGTGTGATCATTCAATATTGCAGTGTTCTCCCCAGGATGTAAACAGTGTGGCGGTCCCGTCACAGTGCTTCGATTTGCCGCCACACCGGCCTGACACCGCCACGGTGATTAGCAAGACCGCCACAGTGGATCTCATCACGCTGGTCAGCCCGACCGGCACTCAAAATTAGCGACCACCACGAAAACGCTTCCGACCAGGACTATTGCCATATTGTTATTATACTTGCGTACCGACCGACATGCATCCTGCCAGTCGTGGATAATAATTTGTAAACAATAGACATAGTCTCGCGATTGAACAATACAAGTCAATTTGGTAAAATTAGCATCTCTTTGTTTGTAAGTAAATACATTCTGCCGATAGACGCACGCAGTCTTTAGATTGAAAGCTAAAATTCTTTCAAAATCAATTCCACCCGATGTAACATGGGCAAAGCGGAGTTCACTGTCAGTTTAAGCTACTCAAGAAAAAAACAACAAGTTTATTGCGTGATTGGGTAAAATACATTTGAACTGTTATCATCGTGAATCATGTAAAAACTCTTCTTTCAAGACTTCTTTTACCTTTTAAAAATTTCTAATCACCTCTTTCGAAAACCATCATGCAATTTTCATCTGAAATTCATACCAACTCATCATGCTACGACATCGCTTTACTTCCGCAATGTAATTTTTATGATCACGATCATTCGGAAAACTTCGGGTTCTACCGGCATTACCATGCGGCATTCTGATTCGTTAATGGTGTTTTTGACCCACCGGGTCAAAGGACACATGCCGGTCAACTAATGCGTCATAACTATCATGGCGGGTCTGTGTTTTTCACCGAAGTGATCGAGTGACCAAAAATAACTTCTCCAGATAAAACTAGTTCAAATTTTATGTTTTTCTCATATAAAAAAAGAAGTATTTAATTTTTGCATGGCATCATGACCGAGTAACAGGAATTATTGGTATAACCGGTGTATAACATCGCGAAGTAAGTTATGTCACGTCGTACTTTTGATGATCGTTTGGAAGTGTTATTTGTTCGTTGTAGAAGCTGATGGTTGGAATAATAACCAGCAATCCGCCAAATAATTACGTGGTCGAAGGAGAATTTTGTAGTAAATAAGATCATGAAAGTCGTGAACATAATCCTGGCTCAAACGTTTCAAATGAGTTTCATTTAACCTTTTACAATTTATTTGTTTCTTTTTAGTCTGCAGCATTTGCATTTCGAGAATGTTAAATTTTTAAATTCAAATTCTTCTAAATTGTGAAACGTAATACTTTGACTCCAAAACGAAATATATTTGCACTGTGACGGAGCTCATTAATATTACAAAAGTGCCCAAAATAAAAGTGTTTATAACACTGTGTGAAGCAAATAAATATCTGCCACTTTGTTTTTTAAATATATGTTGTTTATTGTGTGGTGTAAATGTGCTTTGGTCAATTTCTATTATTATGTAAATGATATGCAAATTATATGCAAATTAGTCCGCCACAGTGGTTTAAATTCCTGGGGAGAACACTGATATTGTAGTGCATAATGTAAGAGGACGCAAATTTATATGCCTTTTTGTGGCCAAAACATCAAAAAACAAATTGGTTATGCAAATTTCAAAAATGTCACTGTCAACATCTGTTGGCAAACTCAAAAAACAAAAGCAATATGTTAAAAAAAGTAATAAGGTTTACAAAATACCAAAATTTGTTTGTTCAGCATATATCCTCCGTGATTATTTGTGTTTTCATTGATGTACAATAACAACAATTATTGTAGTGCTTAGCACTTGCAGACATACAATATAATATCATACAAAGTGTAAATATAGTTGATTATATGTCTACATTTTTTTGAAATATGTTTTTTCAGTATCAATAGCAGCTACTGCAGTCTTTTGTTATTGGTGGTTGATAGCTTCTATATTATGGGGTATGTTGTCATGGCGACGAAGTCAAGCTGGTTATACATATTTAGAGATTATCTGTGTTTATGGCTATTCCCTCGCTATTTATATTCCTGTATCAGTGAGTATTGATATAATTGATGTTGAGAAATTCTAATTCTAGCAAAGACAGTTTTTTTGGTTTCGTTATTACTAGCAAATGTGCCAAAATTTCCACAACCTTGGAAACCATGGGCACGAATCAGTTACTCAGCATGTGATTAGTGCATGACAATTCTAAATAGGCCACGCCTCCACTGTGCCTTTAACTGTACAAACCATTCTTGAATTTGTAAATTCAAAAAGAGCAGCTACCGTTAATATTCTTCAAACTGGTATTAAACAACATGGCTCTTCAGGTTTCATAAATGTGGGATCGTCAGAGCCTTCAGCCCTTGTGTATTTTTAAACATAAGTTACCAGTTGATAAGTCCCCCACCCACCATACAGACTAGGTGTACAGTTTATTACAGTTCCTGGGCTCCCTTTGGTCCAGTGACCTGATTTCATGACTTGACAGCCACATTTTTGGTGTTTCAAAAGCTACCACTCTAAAGGATATGGGATACTTCACAAAAAGTGTGAACCATGTTGCATTGTTCGCGATGAACTGTGAAATGTATGCAAAAAAAAAACACTAACCTTGTCAAGACCATAAAACACAAAGCAATTACTGGCATACAAGTCACAGTTTCTATGGAATGAAATACAATTTTTACTTGACACTATTATTTTCATTAAATGTCAAAAAATAGAGGGGTGGGCTCATACTCAGGGAGGGGTTTAAGACCAGGGAAGTACGTTATAACAGATTTTCTAAATCAAAGTTTGGTGTTGCAGCAGTATGATATCATAACAGTTAAAAATGTTAAGTCATGTGAAAATTGTTGAATTAATTTTCGCTATTTCCCTGAAGGAATAAAATCCAACAAATGTACCTTTGTTCCTATAAGTTACAGTATGCAGTAAGCATCCTCTAATAATAAAAACAAACATGGCTGCCAGCAGAGTTTGACCGCACTCCACACAAAGAAGTTCACTGATTCTGTTCTAAATGTTTTGGATTTCGCATTCCCATGATGTATCCTTGGAAGGAAAAGATGGATAATAATAAGGTTATTACGAGGATACCTTGAAGTATGCACGAAGACAGTACAGCTGGAGTATCGACTGACACTACGCGGCGTACTGTCTGAGTACTGTCTCATATTCTCGTCAAAAATCAGTGACAAGAAATTTCATATATAACACCCAAAAAGTCTTCAGCGAAAATTTATTCCAGCCAAAATAAAGTATTTTACAGTATTATTGAAAAGTTTTTACATATTTGTAAGGTGTCTCTTTTTTTGCAAACATGTAATAATGACTTTATTTTGGCATGAGTTAATGTCACTACCTGTGAATACAATATTGTTTAATAATTTGTTTGTTTCCGTTTAGTTTCTTTATGTGATACCAGTAGCCTGGGTGCAGTGGGTTTTGATGTGTTTGGCGTTATTACTGTCTGGGGCTGTCTTATTGCTCACATTCTGGCCGGCAGTCAAGGATGATGACAAGAAGTTTGCTATTGGTATCTTAGCCGGTATTTTCATCTTTCATGCTCTCTTAGCTGTTGGATTTAAGGTAAAGCATATCATCAATCGATCATTTGTAAATTTCTTGTGTTCAATTACACGTACCAGTATGTCAAACAGTATCTAGACTAATTTGGGAAAATCTATTGATGTTCGGATTATTTATTACATTATTTTATATAGTGTCTGTTTTTTCTCATCAATTCAGGAAAGTATTTGTGCATTAATTGGGTAGGAAAAAAATCTCCAACTCATTGCTGTGAAACAAATTTAAATTTTTCAGCATTTACATATTTTGCGACATGTATGTATTTTTGACATCAATATCAAAGAATAAATGTGACTTTTCAAACATTTTCGTTCACTTTTGATGCTTTTTAATGCTTTTCAAAGCTTGTAAGTTTATTTTTAATTTGTTTTGTTGCTCAAATTCGGAAGAAAACCATGATTAATCTTAGCAGTGGCTCTTCGTCCTGGTGTTGACTTTGGTTTAACTTTGTGTTGTATGGTCCAGGACTGTGAATGAGTCATATTTGCAGAATTTGCAGTGAAAATACTACATTGATAAGAGCCTAATTTGAATACTTATTTCATGGATCTTAATACTCTTGTTTGTACAAGAATTTATCTTTGGAGGTATTATTATTTAAATTACACAAGCATAACAATAATTATCATGTGCTGAAATATATCTTGATAGTTCAAGTTTTGCAACTATTTTATGTAATTTACATATCAGTTGTAGACAACAACAACGTTATCACTTAGAAAATCTGAGTACTCTGCAGTACATATCTAAGCATAACTTTTATTTTTTATTTCTATGACAGTTTTACTTTTTCAAAGCACCAGAGTTTCAACACCCATCCATTCCAGCGACTCACCCTGCAGTAATACCATCACATTCAAAGCAGCTACAAGGACAAGCACATGCAACAGAGCCAAATTTCGCACCACCAGGGATGCCGATTGACCAGCACAATGACCAAACACCAGTCAAAATACCATCCAATATCGGACCTGGGCTTCCTGACAGCGCTAAACTTGTACAACCTGTGAAACCTGTCAATGTGCAGCCTAACAATGTGCAACAATCTGCTAACTTGCCACCAGTGCAACCTGTTGGTATGCAGCCTGCAAAAACGGTTGTTGCAAAACCTGTTCAACATATACAAGAAAACATCCAGTGAGTTATATAATAAAGTATTAGAATTACTTTTTTCATATTAATTATTGTCTCTGTTAACGGCAAAGTGTTTGTCAAACTTAATTGCAACTTCAAATTCAGAGATACCTTTATTATTTTATTTATTTAATCACTTAACATCCATTGGAATGGATGATAATGGATACGATACACAAAAACAAAAAAAAAACATGAAAAGTATCATGACAAAGCAAATACACATACACAGAAAAAGCAACAATTGAAAATGAAAATGACAGATAATCCAAGAATTTTGAAAGTTAGGTGTCAATCGTGTCTCAGAGGTATTGCTGTCTAGATTCAAAACAGATTCACAAATATTGGCCTAAAGGAGTTTACAGGGATTCGTTGCTCAAGATAAATTTGAATTGTTGTTGTTTATTTTATTGAAATTTTATGTCAATGTTTTGATTCATGACTGCAACATAGCAAGTTTGTCCAAATAATAACCATGCATACCTGTACATATACACCAAACAGAACAAACAAGTAGAAAATTGAGTCTGAGATAGTGATAGTATTTGTAGCCTGTACAAGTACTTAGTAGTAATCTGAATATTCTTTGTTTTTTTTACAGACTTAATGATTCCCAGCAGCTAGCGGAGGGAATATGAGGTCTCTGGTCAGCTGTATCATCTAACATAACATCTGCATGCATAACACTTGTTTGGTTTCAAATACTGTAGATTGGGGTTTTTACCAAAAAAAACAGTGTTTGAAATTACTTTACATCTAAGACAGGTAAATTTTTGAAGTCAGGCTGGTCATTTTCAGTTATGTGTGTCAACAAAATGTTCCATTTTGTGGTGCTTACTTGCAATGGGAACACAGGTAATTCAAAATGCTATTTAATGCAGGGATTGGAATGTTCTGGCAGAGCTGGCAAAGTTACCTTTTGAGAAATTTAAAACACTGATTTAAACTCACGATATTTGAGAAAATATACCCAAATTGAGTGTTAAAAAGGAGTCAAGCTATCATATATTCATGCATGATATTAATGGTATAACAAACACAGGGTTGTTCGATGAAAATATTTTTTGTACATAGCATGATTTTATTTGAGACTTATTTCTAGTGAAAAAAATGGGAAAAAAGCATGATGTAAATGCAAGGGGGCTTTACCTGAATTTTCATACCTGAATTCCCAGCATACAGTATTTAAACTGGCCAATGAATGGTAACTACAGGTAGTTTGAATATATTTGCATAGCTAATAGGGTAAAACCAGCAATTTGTCTTGTGTGGGTTATAAGGCAGTCAAACAACCCCTGAAAGTGAATAGATTCAAGGCTAATGTAGTAAGCTCAATATTCATAGTTAGGTAAGGTAAATCATGAGAAGTACAGAGGGAATGTGAGATATTTAAGGTTATGTTGGTTTGAGGAATGAGGGTAAATGTATTTTTCTAATTTATACAAAAAATTGCTATTTATTACATGTGATTCTACTTACGCCATACAGGTGTACTGATTATTAAGGTACACACTTAGTGATCACCAAATTCAACACAAAGGCAACTCTCATAGTATTTATTTAATAATAATTTAATTGTTAATTTGAAATGAAATTTGAATCAATCACCTAAGGTATTATTTTTTTTCAAATCTGTATCTCTGTGTTCAGGCTGAACATCAGAATTCAAACTTTGCCCTCACCGAGATGAGATCCAGGGACTAAAATAGCATGATTAAGCTGAATTGAGAAGCTGAAACAAATGCCAAATTTCAGACGTGCTGAAAATATTACAAAATTTGAATATTTATTACTCACAAATCATCAAATATGTCACATAATATTCCCAAGACTAGGGGTATTAAAGCGTTGTACAATAACAGAATTAATTGAAACATTCTGACCTGGATTGTGCACCAATAGATCATCTTTGGCAAGTCACAGAATATTTTGTCCCATTATCATATATTTAAAGTTAAGTACAGGTTTATTTATTCCCAAGGTAGATACAGAGATAAGACTATGCAACTTTTATAACAATGTATGGTGATTTTATGATGAAGATCCTGCTCCACATGAGTGTCAACTGCTGACAAGAGCATTACAGAATGTCTTGGATGGTTTGATTGCAGAAACAGAAATGAGTTTAATGAGATTTAGGATTTTTTCTCCCATAATGCAATACATATTTGTACAGTAACCTGCTCATTTGTGCAAAATTTGAATTCAGCTTAAATTACTATGAAGCAGATAAAATGGCAATGACAGGTGCACAAAAAAACAAGTAGATTCGACACATAACCAATTTTGTGAACAAGTGAGGGGTCTTCATTGCATATCACCACAGTTGCATACTCTTATCTACCCTTGTTTTGTAATTTGAATACAACACACATGAGACAGAGTAGGTTATGGCAACCTAATTCAATTGATGAATGAATTCAAATTATACATACAGTATTTGCTCTCATAGAAGTGCATGTGTATACTAAATCATTAAAATATTTATGTAAGCGTATGTGCTACTAATAAAGCAAATGCATTTATACTTGGTTATTTTATAAGGTCATGTAAATAAAGTTATCATGGTAATCTTTACATGGGAAGTGTTTTATATTTGCTCGCTGGTGACAGATTTTGACGACAGTTCCTGGTTCAGCAACGTTTAGATCTCCAGTTGATGCTCAAAGCAGCAGTAATGTGCATTGTGTGAAAACCATGGCTAGAATGATATGAAGGTTTTGGTTTTTGAATCTGTAAATTCCCTTATTTTTGTTTATAAAAATCACATTAACATGGGAAATTTAGTTTTTATGAACAGTTTAAATTCCTAATGGTTTACCCGTGTTAGTGACCACCTCGATAGTGACCACTTTTAAGCAGTCCTGAAAGAATAACATACAAGCAAAATTTTTGCAGATTTGCCTTAGTTTAGAGACTATTAAAACCATTTTAAATTTTCGAATGTCAAACATATTTCATTCTGATAAAATGTGCTATTGTTGCAACAGTACCATCAGACATGTCTCTAAACATTTTTATAAAGTCCCGTGGGTGGTTGCTTTACATCACCATATTTTTAAAGAATTGACTGTATTAGGTAAAATCAACACATCAGATTATTGCTATTTTTGAAGAAGGGTAAGACAAAAATGTTTACTGTATCCTAAATGAACAATTACTCAGCTTTTCTCCAATTTGTGACATTTCTGATACACAAAAAGAAAGTACTGGTAACATCAGGATGCAAATAAAGGCTGTATCATTAGAGGGCGCAACATATTTGCTAGGCTTTGTCACTAGAGGGTGCAACATATTTGCTAGGCTTTGTCACTAGAGGGCGCACCATATTTGCTAGGCTTTGTCACTAGAGGGCGCACCATATTTGCTAGGCTTTGTCACTAGAGGGTGCAACATATTTGCAAGGCTTTGTCACTAGGGGACACAACTGAAAGCACTGATTGAGGCTTATGAAATAAAAATTTAAGCTTGTTAGCCTTTTTAAACAAGAATACTGGTGACATGTGGGTTTTCTAATTGAGACGCTAAATGTGATCCACAGTACTGAAGTTTATAATACAGAAAAAAAAGAATCTGTGGATTTTTTGAGATTTGCCACATTTATTTTAATAAGGCATTTAATATGCATAGTTTCAACCCTAAACAAATCAGTTTTATGGATTATCCTAACTGTGAAAAAGCTAAACAATTAATATAATCTGATTTCAATCATAAATTAAACAGGTTTGTGGAGTATCTCAGAGCAGCTTTGTAAGTTTTATTGAAATGCAATGATTGATACTTTTATGCAATTAGGTAATTAAAATTAACCCAAAACTAATCAGGATTTGTCATTACCCCTAAACATTTTTATTGCAAATTGGGTAATTAATATGCACAGATTTTAACCAAAAATTAATCTAGTTTGTACATTGTCCCGTAGCATCTATGCACCAACTTCCATTGAAATGTGATTGATACTTGAGATAAGACATACACACATACAGGGCAACTGCAATGACTCGCATTGTGTACTTTGCACAAAAAAGCATTGTATCCAAATGACAGAATTTATTGGTAGGGCATCTGATAAATCTTGGTAATACCGTATATATTATTTATACAGCAAATATTTGATGCAACATTTTTTTTACAATTTCTTGGTTAATTTGAATATAAATAATTTGCCATTACCTTCAGAGGTGCATTTATATTTTTTGTTCCCTCACAATTTCATTCAAGTTTACAAGTCAAAAGCATGAGCAAAATCACGCAAAAAAAAAGCAGAATTATTGTATTCCACTAGCTAAAAATTGAAAATGTTTGAAGGTATTTGGATATTTGCACTATTGATAGAGGGCTGCCTTTTCATCTTTAATCATGATTGAGCATAATCAAACATGCAATTACAATCATGATTGGACAAAAACAACCCTGGTGCAATTCTGGATCAAAATTGCTAAAAAGGGGTTTATATTGTGAAAGGTAACAAAACTGGCTTTCAAAGAGTGCCAATATTCGTGTCCCCTGTATCATTTGGTGGTGATCAAGCATATATACCATATGCACAGACAAACTCTACAACATGTACACTGAAAAAAAAAATCAAGAATTTTATTGACAATGTAAGAATTACACCACTTTCAAAATATTAAATTGTCTAAAGCTTGCAAATATATGTAGGTATAAAACATGGGATACTTCTATTGAATGTGATCTGATAATAAGGGTGAAACAAAACATTTTTGTCTTGTATAAATATAAAATAAACACAAATGGTAAAGCAAACAAGACCAACATTAAACAAATCAAGCTGGATTGTTCTAATTTATACAATAATGGGGTGGAAATACTGTACTAAAATAAATACATAATATGTTGCCACATTCTCCACTAAATGCAGAGTTATTTAATTGTTAAGATAAAGTGCTGAAAAAAAAAATCATTTTTTACTACAAATATTGACAAATCAAAGGTTGTCAAGCAACAGATTCTTGCTACTGATCTACCATAAATAAAGCACACCATTTCTAGTCTCCTAAAAGCGATGGGCAAACTATCTCCCAGAGCAAATTCAGGGGACAATATATAATGCACAAAATAGTAAAGTTCTCATCAAAGCTCATGCACCATGTGATCAACTGACATTTTCTTATCCACTAGTCTTGACAGCTCACATGTAACTATGCATGGATTCTGTTGTGGATGGTGGCCACTGCAAACCACATTGACATTACATTACATCACTATAACAATGTGATTTGAAAGTTGAGCTAAGAATGAAAAATGTTTTAAAAAATGCAACTGGTATTCAGTCTACTGTATATTAGTAGTCAATCAGAGCAGAGCAAGATTTGTTTCAGACCTGTAAAATAAAATAATTATGGGTACATCTGCAGAGTTAATTCTATAAATACATTCTCCCTTGGTGTAAATCCCTTAAATATTCTGTACAAAACACCTATCAAAACACATTTGTATAATACTAAAAGACAACATTCATACATGTAATCCTTTTAAAAATACAAAGTTTATAGCCCTGAATATGATTAATCTGGGTTTTTTTGGCTTAATTTTATTTGAAAAGATTTTTTTTAATAATTTTAATTTGAAAATGCGTTTTTTGTCTACATAACCATGGCAACAATTCTGATATTAAAATGCAATTTGTATGTTCAATAACTTCAATACAGATTCAACCTAACCTTTTTTTTAAATTTAAATACAGCTTGTTGGTGTCTAAGTTTACAATCTTCAATATATTTTCAATATGGACAGTAATGGTGAAAGAAATTATTAGCCCTATGGACAGTCATTAGGAAGGGGAGTCTGATAAAATGACCTATGCTATGACCTTCCCCTTACAAAAATTTAGGATTACAATCGTCTTCATAATTATTTTAAATATCAAAATATTCTATTTTGTTGAATCAAAGTCATGATAAGATACACGAAATATAATATATACAACATCCAACTCTGATCTAGCCGTGGTAGCGGGAAAAAAGTCAAAAGCAAAGTCAATGGCAGGCTTTAGAATGAAATCGTTAAAAATTACGCATGGTCAGTAACTCAACATGGCAGTTCTAGAAAAATATAGACACAAGCGGGAAAGATTTGTTGTATTTGAATAGCAATTTTTTTTCAGTACATTTCAGATTGAAGATGGATCACCATGCAATTATTTAAAAATCAGTGATGCCCAGAGTGCCACTAACCTGTAGGTAATCAATTCTATTGAAGGCATTCATGTTTATTATCAAACTGGAGACCTGATGTGTCACAAACAGCCGAAAGATCTGATGTGCCACCAACCAGTGTGGCATTCTAGATACTGTTTACCAGTTTTCAGACTAATATGATCAGGTCCTATTGTGATTTGCAAGCTACATTATACAAACAGCATTGGTTGGCGTCTTTGTTCAACTAAATTGGCAGCTTACAGAAATCCCCCTGATTCTCATTTAAACATCGTGAATGTCCAATAAGAGCAGGCAAAGCAAAAATCCTTATGAATCCCTATGAATACTTCTAAAACAGCAGCAACTTTCAATACCATGACCAAGACCTCATAATTACAATTATATTAAGCCTATCATATACACATGCCAATACTTGTGTATGTCTCCAAATTGTTTCTCAAAAACATTTCAGTCAATTGGTGGTCCTAGCTGTTTAATTAATAACAGCAAATAAGAATTTACCATAGGAAATTTATCTTTAGATTGTGCGTATCTGCATATACAATTTGACAACACTATTGTTTTGTCTACAAGTGGCATGGGCCTGTCAAAACATGCAAGATCCCAAATTTGTAAAGGCACCAATCTACACTGCAGTTATACGTGTCTAAAAATTTCACAAATTACAAGTGTCACACATCTAAGTCAGCTTCATTGTCTTTATCTTGGTCTTTATCATCTTCAAAAAATTCATTGGCAGGCTCAATTCTAGAATTAAAAAAAACAGTTCAGTTTAAATCAATTCAAGTTAGAATGTAGTCAAGACAAGACATAAATGTCACAGTTAAAGCAAGTCTAAAATTGATTGGACTCTTGAATAAAACTAACATGGGTTGCTAGTCGGCTATTTTGAACCAAATAAAAAAAAACTTGTGTGCATCAGTAAATCATGTGTGACATTTATGTCAAGTTTGAATAAAATTTGTCCTGCCATGCCTGAGAAACAGCTAATGACATGTTCACAAGTTTTGTGATTTTATTTAATTTTTGTTAAAATGACCACCTGTTGGTTAAATCCCAAGGTATCCCAAAGTATCAACTTTATGCCTAGTTTACATTTTAATCACTATTTTGAAAAACAATGAAACAAAATGACATGCATCAGTAACCCACTATGAGTGATTTTGTTTTTCTGTATTCCTTTTCAAATGAAAGGCTGCACAAGCTTTCAGATGATAAATAAATAAATATCAATTATCACACCAAAAAAATTAAATGACTTGTTAGTCAGTGTACAAACCAGTTTCTACCAAAATATTGTTAAAAACTGAAAGAACAAGTCATTGAAAATGACACAGTCCCCGTTAAATTTTTGAAAGTTCTCTTTGTGCTTGTCATATTAAAGCGGAGGGGTTGTCGCGAGCGTGTCCTTGAAACTTGAGTTCCAAGTGGCGTATACAACAGATTGTTTATTTACATCAAAACTCGTGTTCCGTGTAGTAGTAATATGGCCAAAAATAAAAACAGCCGTTATTCAGCCATCTTTGATCTGATTATGAAACACACTGATATGTATGATGTATGTGCCAAATATGAATGAAAATGGTACATAAATTGTGGAAATATAGCAGTAAGGCCAAAAAGTCAGATGGCTGTCAATCGACTATCCTTGACCAGATTTTGAAACAAATTGTCATGAACATGCATCCTAACATGTATAAAGTACATGTATGTGCCAAATTTGAATGAAAACTGACAGAGCACGTCCAAGATACTGCATAAAAAACAAAAAACAAGATGCCTGCCAGTCGGCCATCTTTGATCCAATTGCGAAATAAATCGTCATGGACATGTATCCTAACATGTATAATCTATGTACCAAGTTTGAATGACAACTGACGAAGCATGTCCAAAATTTGAATACAACATTTTCAAAAAACAAGATGGCTGCCAGTCGGCCATTTTGAATCAAATCGCTAAACCATTGCATGTGCATATGCAAAGAATGAACGGAATCAGTCCACAGGATTCTGAAATATGACTCTGGACAGACTGATGCACGGACGGACAGTCGAGGACATGTGTCCTAACATGTATGATCTATGTACTAAATTTGAATGAAAACTGACAAAGCATGTCCAAAATACAACATTTTCAAAAAACAAGATGGCTGCCAGTCGGCCATCTTTGATCCAATTGTGAAATAAATTGTCATGGACATGTATTCTAACATGTATAATCTATGTACCAAGTTTGAATGAAAACTGACAAAGCATGTCCAAAATACAACATTTTCAAAAAACAAGATGGCTGCCAGTCAGCCATTTTGAATCGAATTGCTAAAACACTGCACGTGCATATGTCCCACATAAAGTACTAGGCACATGCAAAGAATGAACGGAATCAGTCCACGGGATTCTGAGATACGACTCCGGACGGACGCAGACCAAATTATAAGTCCTCGTCAGGGCAACATCTTTAAGGCTAGAAAAAGTTTTTCCTCATAATTATGAAGATTTTCCTACCAAATACTAGGAAACCAAGGATACATGTAACATTTGTATTACCTGCCATCTTGGTCAATTTGTGGATCTCTGACGTCTGGATCAGGTTCTTCAATTCTGTCTAAGCTGAGTAGATCTGGTGGCACTTCTTGCATCTGTACACTTGGTGCATGGTTTAAGCTTTTTAAATTGTCATGCACTGATTGCCTGACTTGATCTAAGTACTGCAAAACAAAGTCACGATATAGGTATTGAGCTAATGACATTTATTCAAAAAGAATGGGTGCAACTTCTCTTAGAGATGCAGCTTCTAATACAGATTTTACGGTACTACTGTGAAATCTGTATTAGAAGCCACACCTCTAATAAAAGTCGCACCCATTCTTTTTGAAGAAATGAGGATCACAAATTCATCATTTCTCATATGTGTAGATGCTTTAATAGAAATCACATTCCCTCTATTGCATTGTACCATTTTATTATAAATAATTTTCTACACAAATGACAATAACAGCTTACCTGTTTAGAGTTGAGATTTTCTATCCGAGTGCTCACATCGGGATGTAATGTGAAATCTGGTGAAAAGTACTCAAAATATTCTGAAAAAAAGAAATATTTCAATTTTTTTTAAGTATCACCAAACTGTTTAACAAGAGTAGGGAACTTTACATAAAACTGATCGACATGTTTACGGAAGGCTAATGCTATAACGAATATACATAAATTAATTTTCAATGAAAATAGCATATTGGTGGCACTGTTTGCATATTGTGTAAAAGATTTTCATTGGGTTTAATAAGTTGCATGAGTATTCAATGGATTGTGAAGGAAACAATGTTCCATTATTAACTTAGAATACCGATAGTCGCAAGTTTTAATTTAGCACTTTTAATGAAAAATAAAACCCAATGATTACTTTTCGTATGCATGGAAACTTGTTTTACAGGACTGGTATTAATTAATCTATTCTTTCACAAAAATAAATTCTAAATGAAAAATCTACTATACTATTACTACATGTATATAATAATGATTATATTGTGATTAGTCCACATGTTTCTTGGCGAACATTTTAATGAGCTGAGCTTGTCCAAAATGTACAAACTTTCAATCACAATGCATACATGTATGCAATGATGCTGGATATAAGTAATGTTTTGAGGGCCACATTTTTCTCCTCCAAAATATTAATTAAACATTTTGTACATTTTTATGTAGTTTTTTTATAATTTTGTTGTTTTGAATCAAATTTGTTACAAGTCTCGATCTAAATTTTTGAACAGATGTAAAAAAAAATTATGTGACTATTTTGTGAGTGGGCGACAAAAGTTTGGCACTAAAAAGTTAAGGACCCATCTAGGGTTCATACTAAACTCTGACAATGAAGCTCAGGATCAAGCCTAGCTCCTATCAAGTTCTGGTCAAATTGTTTTTGTCTGATTGTACATGCAGGTCCTACATATATCTAAATTGAATACAAGTGGCTATGAATACTAACAGCAGTGATTTTATAACATGATATTAAATTTAGATTAAAGCGAGATTATTTTTGAACTAGCTAGCCTGACATTGGGCACAAGTCGGCCATTTTTAACTGATCTTGTCAGCTCCATGTACTTTTACATTAATTTGACCACATAAGGGTAAATCTGATTTTAGAATAAACAGATATTTCTATTAGGTGTCCATGAATGCCTTATCTACCCAATAAATTGGTTAATGCTGGCTTAGACATAAATCCATGTGTCAAATATTACTCAATAAATAAAACCTTACAATAAAAAAAATCATCAACTAAAGGCTCTAACATGCAACCTATCATCAGTAGATTTCCAGAATTCAATATTGAAGAGCATCAGCAATCTTGATGTTACTTTTCAAAAAGCAGTCCATAATTATTTATATTTGATATAATTGACAAAAATATTCATTAAATATTAGAGAAGTTACGATCTAATAGAAGTCCGCCGAAGGTACATACATATGAAATATCAAAGCAATTGGGATAGTAGTTTTTTAAGAAGTCATCAAAAATTGCATTTTACACTAAAAATATTTGCTAAACATTGAAAATTGATCATATTGTCAGAAATTAACAAATCAGAATGAGATCACCCCCAAATATGCAAACAATTCAAACATGTTAATCAAGGTTATCCAAACTGAGGTTTAGCTGGTGAAGTAAAACAAATATACACACCATTATATGGTAGTTCATTGCTGATTCTTTGGTCTAATAGTAAACCAGTTTCAAATGTCCTATGGAGAGGGTATATAAATATACAATGAATATAGCACAAGACATGTAAATACCACAACAATGGAAGTATCAGAAAGCTATAAATGTATCACAATGAATTTTATTTACTTACCAACATCTGGCGACATTACGTACAGTATATCCACCACCTCCAAGCACAAGTAGTGGTATATTAAATTCTTTAACAAATTTCACACATTCGCCATGACCTTTAATACTGAGATTAAAACAGCCTAATCTGTCGCAGCCTAGTGAGTCTGCTCCACACTGTCGAGTAGGGGAGAAAAAAAATTGTCAAAAAAACTAACGCTTCCCAAACGCAAAGTATACTGTAATTTGCTCTTGTAGTGCATACACTTGTGAAATGACAGAGGTATATATCAATGATCAAAAGTCACATTTCAATGGTCCGGGTAAATGCAATTTTTTCTTCATGTGCACTATTGGAGATCTGCTTTTAGTAGAGCAAATACGATACTATGAAACCAGATTAAACTGAACCTCTAAGGATTCTTATATTGATAATAAACATGAATAATTAATAATTTAAATGACTCATTTCTGTAAATGCATGTACATATTTGCTCTGAAAGCAGTGAATATGCATACATAAATTACAGGTGTTTCTATGGTGGTCCAAATAAGTTGTATTTTAATGATTCACATTACAGCAAATGTGATTTTCTATTGGAGATGCTCTAGTAATAGAGCAAATACTCAAATACAGTACAGTACATGTTGAGTGTATTCAGTCTAATGGACATGCTTGGTTTTAATTTGTTTAATTAGTTCTATGATTCAAACCAATACGAATGACTAGTCTTGATAAGGATCAGTCTTGTCCTCACCTGCAACACTATACACGTTGGTTGATAATAATCCACCACCATTTGTATAACTGGTTTGAATAATAATCCATAATTATGATCATCAATACCATCTTTCAAAGGAATATTCAAGGAATAATAACGACCACTTTCTGATCCAACTTCATACATATCACCTACAAAAACAACATCAGATTTCATAAATGTAATTAATTATGTTCTGTTACAGTCATCAAGTAATTTACAGTATCGTATACAATTCTAGAAATTTACTTAGCAGATCTATCATAAAGAACTCTGACTTATTCTTGGTAATAGATTTGACAAAATAAGGAAAGTAATTGATTGAGATTGTTATATTACAAAACTGCAGTTCAGTTCAACGACAGCAAAAACAGACAAGTTGATATAGTCATAAAATCAATAAAGTCAATAGTAAATTGTGTACATGCATACTCTAGGATAGCGGTACTTGTTTAAATTTATGCTTGGATTAAACACTGCATCACAATTGTATTTAGTGGCATAGCTTGAAAAACTATCGTAAGATCAAGTTAACTATCAGTATTTTATATCATATAGCACTAAATGTTTCCCATGATATATGAAGACAGTTAAAATACAAATTCAGTACCATTTATTGGAATTATATTAAAGAACATATAAAATAAAACTTACCTGTGCCTGGAAAGAAATGATTTCCATATTTATGAAACGACACTGTCATTACTCTGTCTGTTAGGTAAAATGCTTCTTGCACACCATCTCCATGATGTATATCAATATCAATGTAGAGTACCCTGGGGTGATACCTAAAATATTAAAATTATAATTTTACAATATTATATTTGTTCATTCAGCCATTTTGTTATTGTTCTGATTTTCCTCTTTCCATCATTATTTTTAGAAAGCTTGTTTGGAACTGAATGGAATGCTGACATTTGTTTTTATGGTGACAGGAAATAAAGTACATGTACTTCCAAGTGCATTAAGATTGAACAATTTTCAGCAACTACCATAGTAATTGTTTAATGGCAAATGAGAATTCAAAAGAACTACTCTATCATACTTCTAGTGGTCCAGGTGATGGAAAATTTGTATTACAGTTGTCTAAATTCCTTTTCTAAATAATTATAATAAATGTTGCAATCCATGGTGTGTAATTTATTATCAAAAGGTGTGTTGGCAATCAACTGGAAACATGAGCTGAAACTAATGGGATTAGGATATTTGCATGCGAGTGGTTGGGTGTAGTATGTAGAGTCACTGACGTTGCCATCCATGCTCCAGGTGAATAATTCACAATACAGATGATGGTGGTAGTGATTTTGTGGCAGCTGGACACCATGTATTTTATATTAGTTGCTTTTCTATTTTGAGCTTTGACTACATTAGTCTTTAAAATAACAAAGGACAAACTGTCAGAACATCTATTTCAAATGAAAAATTCTGCAGTGCAGTTTTCAATTTCAGTATGCAACCGCCAGACAAAGAGTATTCTACTGAATACTGGATGCAAATACAGGATTAGTCAGATTGTCATGAAATCAAAATCCCATTCAAGGCTATTTGAAAATGCATGTTAAAGTGCATTAATTTATAATAAATTTTGAGAATCCTTTAACAATTAATCACAATATGAAACTCCTGTGATGCTGTTTACAGCTTTAATTATTATATTATAACAGGTAAATTTGAATTGAAATGATAAAAACAATTCCAAAAATAAATCAAGAAAAACATGCATATTAAAAGTACAGGCTACACAGACAAATCAGTAACGGTTACACCCTTTACAAATATAGCTGTACTAATCCTAAAAATAATGCTCTGCTCTGGTCTGATTTTGAATACTTATAGTAGCTACCGGTAGATACAGTTTAGACAAAGCATATATACAAGGTAGATTAAACCTGTCAACTAAAAGCTGCTCTGTTATTGGTATGAACTTATTGAGTAGTCAATCAGGTACTATCTGGTAAAAAACTTTGGATAGACTACTCAGACAATAAAGTGATGTCAATATAGCACACATAGTTTAATGAGACACAGCAATTTGCAACGTTCAAAATGCTATCAAGTAATGTAAACAGCTGACCAGTTCTTACACCAATATACCAGTTTACTATCAATATTATTATCGATATCAGCATGTACATGTATGAATGCAAAAAGAGATAATCTGTGATTACACCTAGCAGATTTAACAAAATTCTTATATTCGTTCTTGCTGTATTGAACTGCCATGGTGTAAAAAAACATTATATAACATAACAAATATTGATAATACCCTGGTGGGATCTTATTGGCTGGCACTGAAAGATAGTCATCACTGTTTTTTTTCTCTATTTTTCAACATTTCTGAAAACGAACCATAATTTTGAAGTGAACAGACAAAATTTGAGTCAATTTTCAGCTTTTTGAGGCTATTTTTATCCCAATTTGTGATGAAAAGAGGAACTGCTGATGAAAAGGTTAAATAGAGGATATGAAATAAAAAATAAAAATTGACCTAAATTTTGTTTGTTGGCTCCAAAATTAGGGCCCATCTCCATACAAATTTGGGCAAGAAAGTCTGGTGGTGGAAAGGTTAAATTAGACTCATTGATCCCTACAGTATGTGTTATAGCAGTGGAGGCTATAGAGAAAATAAGTTACTTACTTGAGGAGTTCTAAGATTGATATTACTATATCATTTACATAACAAAATCCTGATGCTTCAAACTTCTTAGCATGATGCAATCCTCCAGCCCAGTTAACTGCTATGTCACATAACTATAGAAAAAAGTAAAACAATACCACTGCCTGTGTATTCAAATTTTACATATGGGTGATCTTCATAGTTACTACAGTTAGTGTAAAATGACAGTATCTGCGGTCAAAATAAGTCACATTTTAATGATACAAAATACTTCTGTATTTGCTTTATTAGTAGCATGCATGCATACATACATACATAAATAAATAACAGGGGCATCTCTGAGTTTACGCTTTTATTGGGGATTCACTTCTAATAGAGCAAATACAGTAAATGCAATTGTTCTATTTGAGATGCAATACTAATAGATATACATACAATACTACTGAGGTTACTAAACTGTTATTACACCCACTTATGTTCACAACATTTTTGCCATGCATGACACAGTCCCAGTTAGTTATTGAATTTAAAATATATAGTTTTGTTTATAGTAATATAGTTGGAATACAAACATGTCATGTCATCATGATTTTTTAACATTAAAATGATTGACATCTTGTATCTGATCGTCAAACGAGTACTTCTCTTGAACAGCATTAATTAAAACAAAATCGGCCATTTTGAATACATATATATATCTATAACATAATGCATAATGAATATATAAAATTTGAACGTAATCAGTCAAAGCATGTCAGAGATATGGCTCTAGAAGCGCATTCATTTAAAAAAAATGGCAGTCAGTCAGCTATTTTGAATCTGATCTGAAAAATAAAATGACATGCATCAGGAACCCATAATGTCTAATGTATGTAGAAGTTTGAACAAAATCAATCTATAAATGCCACAAATGCTTGATATTTGATGATTTTTTAGCACCAAAATGGCTGCCATTTGGCCATTTTGAATCAGAACGTGAAACAAATTGATGTGCATATGTATAATATAATGTATGATGTATGTGTGAAGATTGAATGTAATTGGTCCAGGCATGTCTAAGATAGAAGTCAATCCTCAAGTCCTGTTTTCGAACTGCTGCCGGACGGGGACTAATAATGTAAGCAAGACCTACCGGTAGGTGAAAAAGTGTGATGTACATGTCAAAGAAGGTAAGTCGTGTCTGTTTTTTCAAACAGTATTAAAGTTCTTAGTGTTATTGCAATATTCTATAATATTTGATTCTTCAATGTAGAGATTGGGTGCAGAGACAATAAATAACTTGTGTGCAAGCATCAGATAAGCACCATCATAGACATGATCTGTCACTATTGCACAATTTTATTATAATATGTGCAAGAAGTTGTTTGAATACCTAAAGAACATAAAGAGCAAACCATTGTTGGTGAGGTCACTTGCCTTGCAAGCAGGAATTAGCCAGCCACGTGTCTACCCTGTCATTTTAGACAGGTGAAAAATTTTACTTGAAAGGCTAAATTTCCACAACCTTACCAACTTTGGATTGAAAATTTTAATTTTTTTCACAAAAATTTAAATATGAATTTTAGAGAGGTGTTTTTCTTTTTCTGTCTATAATTCTGCATGTGAGGAATAAATTTAATTGTCTACAAAGCTCTACAGTGCAATATAATAAATTACGTGTAAAAGAGAATGATGTGATTATTGTTTTTACTCCTTACCTCGTTATTAAGCTTAGTAGCACCTTCTAATGAAGCACCAGTGTACATAGCACAGAAATCAAAGAGTCCTGGAAAAACTGGACAATCATCTCCAACATTAAAGTGACTAAGACTCTTAGTAAAACTCTGTATATTCTGTGGTGTTACTCTAGATAGGAAATCTATATACTCCTCGGAATGAAACCGACACATATCATGCTGTGATGCTCTGTATGGACGATATACCTAGTAAGAGACAACAAACACTGTACTCCAACTGACTTTTTCATCCTACAGCATATATATGAAGATATGAAAAAATAGTCCCACCATAGAAACCATTGTAAAAATGTTAATTTTGACAATTTTCCATGACATTTGAATCACTTGTATCTTGTGTCTGGCAATCCTAATTTTTGTTTTCATTTTCGATATCCTGATAGTACGAACTCATAACAATGAAAGTATGACAAACGTGACATAATCTTAAATTCAACTTGAAACTACTCAATATGGATTCTTATGAAAATATTTTCAAAAGGCCCAGTTTATCGACCAAAAATATTCTTTAGTACAAATAATATAAAATTGATGATTATGGCATATAAAAATGATTGTTTCCCATATTTAATATCTTGAATGGCTGTGAAATACCTTAATCTCATAAAGGTCTTTAAAACTCATCATGCAGACCCATGTACTTTTACATTGACTTAACAAGAGTTCTAACACTAAATTCATTCATTGACTACATTGACAAAATGAAATTATTTACTAACCTGCATTTTTTTGTACAATCCATAATTAAGAACCAGACTATGTGTTAAAGCTAAACGATGAGGTTTCATAGGATGACCAGGTCCTGAAAAATCAAAAGACAAACAAAGACTTCAGAAATGCACTCAATGACTAACATAGATGAATATATGCTACTAAAAATTCATTTTGAAATGAAATATATATGCAGCAGACTATGATGAATAACAATTTGATTTGAAAATTGTGCACATACAGTAAATCCTCTGTTTTCGATGACTCCATCTACCTACTGTGAAACATGTTTAAATGTTACATGCTACATTTTAGCAGATATTACTCAATGCATAAATTAACAGACCCAGACAATTTGGGATCAAAATGTTCTTTTTGATGTTTGCCTCAGGTGCGAGGCCCTGTCTATAGTATTTGCCTTTGGTTAAATTGAGCAATAAAACTCAACTGAATAAAAAAAAAATTGTTAAAAAAAAATAATCCTGTAGTTATTAATAACTTCTACAATATCTGAAAACAATACTAAGATCCTGTGTTGTATATAATCAGTTATGAATAACATCGCATGGGAAAAATGACTCAAGTCTGAATAATAACAACTTAAAATTATACGCGTTTGAATATCTCACTCTATCGAATACCGATATCCGGGAAAAAATATTGCTATACGAGACAAAGCATAGTCGTTGTTTTGTTTGTTTTTGGCATTAATATGTAATAATGTGACGTCACACATAACCGTATGGAAAATTGATAGTGCATCAACTAGAAAAAAAAAAGTTAAATTTAATGTCAACTGACTTAAATTACACAGACATCGCGAAATTACAGAAGCAAATGACGACGATACAGCTGAAACAAGGCCATCTTCAAAGCAGGAAGCCGAAGGCCATTGCAACATTCATAGCACCGGCGCGGCCTTGACCGGATTTGATCGGCGAAATGTTTTTTTTTTTTTAATTTTTTTACTGAAAAAAAAAAATAAAAAATCTTCAAACATTTTAAGACAAATTCAATTCTTTACTAGAATTGTTTGTTTTGGGAGAAGTTGGCGCGTCGGTGGATGGACAAAGAGTATAAACAAGCGCCAACCGGCGAATTTCCTTTGTTACTGTTGGTCACTTTTTTTGCAAAAACTTAAAAAGCGGAAGCCTTTTTTGAGCAACGTCTTTCATTCATACTGCTAGAAATGGTGGAAATTTCTTAATATTTTACAATCAAGTGGTTATTCAACTATTCAAATTTAAAGCTAAAGCACCATATACTTAAAAAGTAACTCACCGTAATGAAAATTTCCGACATCAGCGTCGTAAAAATACGCCACCGTGGGCTTCGCCATGTTGAAAGTGTACACCTTGGGCGTGCAACTAAAATGGGTCCGTCAAAATAATCACCGTGCTAGGGAGTTAACTAAATTGGTTGCTTGTTTCCACTTTGTTTTCTCGCGAATTCCTGTTCGATCAAAATAGATCCACGACTTCAGTTTTGCCGGTTGGGACCATGACAAAATGTAGTGACTGTTCAGAGCGAGGTAAAGTTTATTCATTTGTTACTGTAACGTCGTGTATAAATGACTCCGTGCATACCCTGCGATTTATTTGAAAACAGAAGACAATTGTAACAGCATTTGCTCGATGACACTGACTGGGTCACCCGAGAAACTTACACAACTTGAAATTATCTGCGGAAGTTACGTTCAGCTCCAGTACATCGGAACCGCCACTAACACCATACAATCAGTACAATGGCGAGTAGCGATAGTTACGCAACGATCACAAGTACTCTATCTAGCGTGAAATTCCAACAGAGAAAGGTCAAGAACGGTAAAAATGACAAGACAAAATCTAAAAAGAAGACCTCCAACATGGAATGTACGCCAGTCGTTGTTGATTTTCGTCGTTTGTTTCAAAGCTCCAAGAGTTCCCTCGATGTTATACCAGGGGTAAGTTTTCGGCAGTATTTGTAACTTATTGAGGTACTATTCTCATAACACAACACAAAACATTACGTGAGTGACGTAGTTACTGAACACATGTTGCCATGGAAACCACATGCTAAAAGACGCGATACCACGTGCTGGGATGAAGATCGAGCAGTAGTTATTTTTGTTATGAAGAAATAATTTGTTATAATCACCCTTTAAAATAACATCAGATCTGATAATGCAAAATTATATCATCACTTACTGGTGTACTTAAAATTAGTTTGTTTCATTTGAAATAAACTACCCTAAATTTCATTTTTTTATTGCCATTTACAATTTACAACACCCTCCCAAACTTCATTTGAAACCAAAGAAGATGCATTCACTTTCTATAGGAGCCATTTAATAACATACTCATTTTTAGTTACTGTATTTACCAGTATTGTGATAAATTTTTGTTTACTCTTTTCTTTGTAATTATATAACTTGCCTAATATCCAGTGTTGAGCACTGTGTTAAAAGCCGGTCCTAAATTTGCTGAGTTCTACACAGTTTTCAAGCATCATCGCTATTTTGTGCATGCATAACTTAGGAAAAATTTAAAAAAAATGGTGAAATATGGTATTTGAATTTGTATTACTGTAAAATCTGTATTAGAAGTCAAACCCATTCTTTTTGTACAATTTAGAAAGAAGAAATTACAATTTCTCATATTTGTAGATGCTCTCATAAAAGCCGCATTCTCTCTGTTGCATTATATCATTTTAATAGAAACCGCGGCTTCTAATAATAGTAGTTATAGCGTTTTCTTTTTAGGAGGGGTTGCACTTTGCAGAGTGCATGTCAATCTAGATGTGTAGCCATCAAGACTTGTTTTCCGTACCATCTAGATCCAAACTATAGCCTATTTACTGTCACCACCATTTTGTTTCGATCACCAAAACAGCAACATTGCAAGTTAAGTTGTTGTCTGGTTTGATGTGTGTATCTGGAGCTAGTTTCATGATTTGAACAAGTTAGGTTAAACCAACCTCAACCAGAGATATCAAACTAATAGTGACAGATTCAAACACGTCAAATATAGAAGATTATGATGCAATTACCTTTCAGTTCATTTCATCCAATCATAAAAATATCTACAGCATATCTAAGTTATCTATACAATATGTAAGTACTGTTCGAACGCAGTTCGAAAACGGGGACTTATGTTTTGACCTCTGTGCGTGTGTGCGTGCATGTGTGTGTGCGTGCGTCTGTGCATGCGTCCAGACCTGTATCTTAGAAATGCCTGGACCAATCACAATCAAACTTCACACATACTTCATACATGATATTATACATATGCATGTCAATTTGTTTCACGATCTGATTCAAGATGGCCGAATGGCGGCCATTTTTGTGCTAAAAATCATCAAAATCAAACATTTTCCAGCTGTTTACAGATGGATTTTGTTCAAACCTTGTATATATGTTGGACATTATAGGACCTTGATGCACATCATTTTCTTTCACGATCTGATTCAAGATGGTCGAATGGCGGCCATTTTTGTGCTAAAAATTCTAAAAATTAAGCATTTCTCGGCTGTTTACAGATGGATTTTGTTCAAACTTGGTATATACATTAGACATTATGGGACCTTGATGCACATCATTTTGTTTTACGATCTGATCCAAGATGGCCGAATGGCGGCCATTTTTGTTCTAAAAAATCCTAAAAATTAAGCATTTCTCGGCTGTTTACAGATGGATTTTGTTCAAACTTGGTATATACATTAGACATTAGGGACCTTGATGCAAATAATTTTATTATATCAGATAAGATTCAAAATGGTCGACTTTTCGTGCTAAAAAATCCTAAAAATCAAGCATTTCTCGGCTGTTTACAGATGGATTTTGTTCAAACTTAGTATATACATTAGACATTATGGGACCTTGATGCAAATAATTTTGTTTTTCAGATAAGATTCAAAATGGTCGACTGGCGGCAATTTTGTTTTAATGATTGGGCTTCTAGAGCCATATCTCTTATATGCTTTGACTGATTATATATTCAAATTTTATATATTCATTATACATCATGTTATATATATATATACATGTATTCAAAATGGCTGATTTTGAATGCTGTTCCAGAGCAATATCTCTCAATATGGACAAGTACTTGTTTGACGATCAGATACAAATGTCAATGATTTTAATTAATGTTAAAAAATCATATTCCTGACATGGTTATATTTCAGCTATATTACTATAAATAAAACTATATATCTTAAATTTGATAACTAACGGGGACTGTGCCATGCATGGCTTGTGAAATATTTGGATTTGAATGAAAGCTGATATATGGTATTTACAAATTGTTATAAATATGTTTATAATTAATTAATTATTTAATTGTTTAATTAATTATTTTTTTTATTTTTATTTATTTATTTATTTATTTATTTATTTATTTATTTATTTATTTATTTATTTATTTATTTATTCATTCATTCATTCATTCATTCATTCATTCATTTATTCATTTATTCATTTATTTATTTATTTCAACCCTTTTAAACTAGAAGCTCACCAATAGAAGTACATAAACAGAAATATATCACAGTAACACATGTTGTGTGTTACAGCTCTATATATGGTCTAATTCCACTAGCCACTGAAAATATTTATTCATTTCAGTGATTCAGATGCTAACTTGACCTCAACAATTCAATAGTATTTTCACAAAATATCCTAAATTTGTTCAATCTTTGTAGACAAATATCCATAATAATTAGAAATGTCCCATGATGCTAGTTGCGATTTTGGACAAAATATTTTAAGCCAATTTTGAGACAACTGTACTCCAAAATTTATTATTTGTCTGTGTTTTATTATTATATGTGATGAATCAGAGACATTATATCCAGTCTGAATTATTCAATTGCTCATTTGTTGAAGTTGGAACAGCTGTTTCATTCATATAACATGTATTGGTATTATATAAATAAACAATACCACCTAGCACCATGTGCTACTCTCCTTCTACTTAACTATTCATTTAATAAGCAATTTATATAAACTACAGCGATGTGATTGGTCATATGACATACTTATTTCATTGAAGTATGTGCATATGGGCTGATAAACCATACAGTAACGTTAAATTCACAATTGCTTTCAATCATCATTTGATGTTTTTATACAATTACAAATAAATCAGTGTTCTCCCCAGGAATTTTTACCACTGTTGCGGCCTAATTTGCATATAATTTGCATATCATTTACATAATAATAGAAATTGACCAAAGCACATTCACACCCACACAATAAACAACATATATTTAAAAAACAAAGTGGCAGATATTTATTTGCTTCACACAGTGTTATAAACACTTTTATTTTGGGCACTTTTGTAATATTATGAGCTCCGTCACAGTGGAAATATATTTTTTTTTGGAGTCAAAATATTACGTTCCACAATATAGAAGAGTTTGAATTTAAAAATTTAACATTCTCGAAATGCAAATGCTGCAGACTAAAAAGAAACAAATAAATTGTAAAAGGTTAAATGAAATTAATTTGAAACGTTTGAGCCAGGATATTGTTCACGACTTTCATGATCTTAATTACTACAAAATTCTCCTTCAAAAAATCGACCACGTAATTATTTGGCGGATTCCTGGTTATTATTCCGATCATCAGCTTCTACAACGAACAAATAACACTTCCAAACGATCATCAAAATTACGACGTGACATAACTTACTTCGCGATGTTATACACAGGTTATACCAATAATTCCTCTTACTCAGTCATGATGCCATGCAAAAATTAAATACTTTTTTTTTATATGAGAAAAACATAAAATTTGAACGAGTTTTATCGGGAGAAGTTATTTTTGATCACTCGATCACTTCGGTGAAAAACACAGACCCGCCATGATAGTTATGACGCATTAGTTGACCGGCATGTGTCCTTTGACCCGGTGGGTCAAAAACGCCATTAACGAATCAGAATGCCGCATGGTAATGCCGGTAGAACCCGAAGTTTTCCGATGATCGTGATCATAAAATTACATTGCGGAAGTAAAGCGATGTCGTAGCACGA